TATATATATATATATATATATATATATATGTATATTGTTTTGCTAACGAATTAGCAAATGGGTAAGCCCTTACCGAGTCACTTACCTTACCTAGCGAGCATAACAAGTACAAAAAACCTTACCCAGTAAGACACATGACAAAGACCAACAATCTTACCCAATAAGTGAGAATCGTGACTCTTACCCGACTAACATTTACTGAAAATCTGAAAAACCGCTGTTAAACTACTAATTACATAATTCAGATCATAATGCAACACAGACTATTTTTCTAACAACAACGTTGACTTGGTTGTTTACCAAAAGTTTATCGGGTAAGCGCTTATCATGTGTCACTTACCTTTCGAATGAGCATTGCAAGGACCTAAAACCTTACATGGTAAAAGACATAACAAGAACCAAAACTCTTACCCGGAAATTGAAGGAGAACACCGTTACCCGGTAAGCGCTTACCGGATAAAAAACACTTGCCAAAAATCCCTATAAGACAAGTAGCGGTGGTGATCTTGCTAAGCTTACCCGATAAGCGTTTGGTGAACAACCACTTAATCCACACAACTTGACGGCGAACAAAAGCCCCTCTCCACTGTGAGGAATTTGGGATCGAAAGCCGTAAGAGGCCAGGTGGAGGGAGAGGAAAAAATAGCTTGGAGAAAGAAGCGAGTCTTCATAGGGCAATTGTCACTACTTATGGACTAGAACCTGGGTGATCTATCCATGACCAGAATTAAGCTTGGGTGAAACTAAAAAGGATAGAGCTCTGAAATAGTTAACTCTGAGCTGGGGTAGGAACCCAATCGATCGATGTGTCACAGGAAGGCAGTGATTAAGTTGATCAACCCAATATCCCACTGACCCATTGCAGAGTTTGAGTTTTGAGTTACCAACAAAGGGACCATCATTTAGAACATGCTTAAGCTTTAAATCAAATATCCAATTCTTACATATCAAAATGAAAAACCTAACCATTGATGAAATCCGTCTTTTACTTCATAATAATACATTTGATATCGATTCAGAGATTGATCACCTCCCTCTACCAGGAGCCGCAGCTCCTCGACCTGCAGCCTGAGCCTGCATAACACCAAAAAAACAATTGGAACAACTTAAAAAGAACAAATGATGTCACTTTTGACCTCAACTACACTAACTTTTTAACTATAGTACACTTCATTGCAACAACTTGCCATATTTTTAACTATAGTACACTTCATTGCAAGTAGAAACTTGTATTAGATTTGCAACTATATTGACGCCAATTTCAAATTTTGAATGTAAGTTCACCTACATAAGTCAAATGGTCAAGGGCAAATATAAATAAGGATACCACCAACTCATCACTAGTCCTTATGTAGAACAACATGTCATGTAGCACACATTCTATCTCATCCAAGAAAAAAGTAACTTTGGTAGCAGCCTTAAGTTTACTCAATGGGCAAATTAAACCAAACCAAATAAAACAAACTCAGTAAATCCCAAAGAGAATGGGATCCGTGGAGGTAAGACATATGCGGTCTATCCGCCACCCCAAGGAATAGATCACGCCTTGCGAAAATGTTTTGTAAAATGGAAAATTACTAAATGCAAAAAAATAGTTTTGAAGCGATGATTAAAAAACTTGAGAAAAGCTTGATATAGAAAGCCAGGCATGGTTGTTCTGTTCCATTGACATTTTTTACCAAATACCAACAAAGGAAGCTTTTCTTCATGCGAGTATTTAATAAAGTTTGGATATACGAACTTGATACAGAAATAATATACAAGATGAGACATCTTGAGTGAAATTAATAGAATCATAAGATATCATTCAACTTGCCACTATGAGGGCGATTCACCAATCAGAAATGAAATTTAAACCGTTTGCTTCAAGAGCCAAATGGAACATTAAGATCTGAACTGTGAGCCTGAATTTGACAACTATGCTCAACATCTGTTTCAAATTATAGTCTGAAGAGATATTCGTAATACTTACTCGAGCTCGCATGGCGACAGCACGACCCCGACCAACACCAAGTGCTGAACCTTTGCCCTTCAAGAATGAAAATTTGGGTGATATTAGAAAATGGGATGAATCTAGAGATATGCACACACTCTAGAGGGCTAAGGATGGTACCTTAATTCTAGCTTCTAGACGCTTGAACATAGGAGCATTCTTAAGCATATCTGGTATGATCATGAACCTGCAGGGATTTGTCAGGTTCAGCTCGTTTTGGCGACAATAACATTTCAATTATATTGTGTAAGAAAAATAATAGAGAAGTGACTTGTGAATCCCATTTGTTTCATGTTAGTGGAAACAGATAAGACCCACAAGAAATGTACCACATACCTCTTTGTTTTCTATTTATAGTTTTGTGCACTTTAAACAGTGTTATGATTTTTATTTTATAACCAAACCAAAAAATGACTGCAAGACTATTGAGTTCCCCAAAAAACATAAGACGTAAAAGAATGTTTTTTGGTTTGAAACCTCAATCTCATTGAAGTCATGGTCAGAGTGTGTTTTTTCCTTTGTAAACCATAGAAACATAAAAATCCAAACATATAGTGTTCTAAAAAGCATTAACTAAAGCTAAGCAGTTTTGTGACCATCTAGCGCATAATCGTCTAAGCAAGTATTAATCTGACATTTAAGTGGACGCATAGAGGGTTCATTTGAATGTATATAAATATATAATATGATTGTTATTATTAGATTATGTATACATATGAGATATTAAGAATTAAATTCTAAAAATACTTTGGTACAATTATCTTTCTGAATGACTGATCTTAAAAGTACTCATAAGGAATAGGAAAGATTACCTTGTAGTTGATAAAAGTTGATTGATTTCCTCATTGAATTTTGAAATGCTTAATTCAACAATTAGTTGCTAACCAAAGTGGTGAGGGATGCTTAAGGCTGTAAGACTGGTTAAGCAAAAAACACTTCCGAGGCTACACCTCTGTTGGTGAAATTGAGTCGGTGGTTGAGGTGAATAGGTCGTAGTAACTACCTTACTAAATAAAAACCTTAAAAAACAACCTCTTACCCTTGTCTCCTCCCTCACGCACATTTCTCTCCTCTCCTTGTTATAATATTTTGTAAATTTCTTTTTCATCATTATTGTTGATGCATACGTTTCACCATACTAAGGGAAAACATCTCATTCTCATCTCACATTTTCGCCTGTCTACACCTTGGTGACACTAACTAATGCAATATGTAGGAGGCACTGAATGCCTAGGGAGATGCTTAGGCCGCCCTGAGCAGGGGATTTCAGAATACAGTAGCTATACATTTTGTAGCTAGTGTTGACAAAAGTTGTAAATCCGTTTTGGTTTTTAAAAAACGTATTCAATTTTCAAACACTGGTTTTCTATCTGGGTCGGACCTTCTAAAGAAAACTAGAACAAAAGACAAAAAATGAAATTGCTACCAAATGATACATTAGAATTTCCTTTAAAAATGCAAATAGAATAATATATAAAGAGCTCATCCCAAAGAATAATAACACACCTGACTTTGCTGCCCCGAATGAAGACATGCTCAAGTTGAGCCACCTTTCCATCCTGCAGATGTGCAGACCAACATCAGACTACAGTTGTTTCAAGAAAAACAACTCAATGTCCTTACTGTTCACTTTTTAAGAATTCTATTTATGTTTGCATTAAAAAAATTGGGTGTTGTATAAACGACATAAAACATGAGATCAATGTCAGTCAACTATATCTCTTCTAAAAATTGGTTAGCTATTTCTCGTTTTGTTTTAGGATTCTTCTTCATTGCGTCCAAAGGTGTAAAAATATCAAATCACTAAATGCTATATCGTCATCACAAGAAATAGATTTCATGATTTATTACTAGAAATTCCAACTCTATGAGAAACATTACCTTTCACATAAACCCACACAAGATAAGCTTGTGTTAAAGCATAGTTTTGTTTTCCCCTCACCAACAATACAGAATACAGAATGGATGCCACACAAATGAAAAAATGTCTTCACATGAACACCCAATTCCCTACTTCCCTCGTTAGATTTTCTTTTCACAAGTATTACTCTTTTAAGTTGGTGACAACAAGTTAACAACATGATCAACAACCAAACCTAGTTTTCATTGCCAAATTTGCCATTCTACTAACACTCAGCGCAAACTTGACACCTTAAAAGTTAGCAAAACAAACAAACCTCAATACCATAGAGCTGGAAGATAAAAAAGGGTACTTCTTTAAAATACCATATGCCCATGATTACATAATTTCATATTGAGTGATTGACATTTATAACCACCATAAAACACTGTAGTTGCAAAAATCCCAACATACTTTATACTAAAAAAAGCTGGAACATTTTGCCCCAGTGTTCCGACTACCCATGGCTCTTTCAAAGCTAATGCCAGGTACATAGGTTACAAATGTTCAGGTATGTTGGTGTGAGGGGATTTCTGCAACTAAAATAGTTTTTGCTGTTGTTGAAAACTGAAGACAAAGTAAAATGGCAATTGTTGATCACTCATTTCAAAAGCCATGTATCGTTAAATTAAATTAGCAAACGTTCATTACCAATTTACCATTTCACAAACTTATATCAACAGAGAAGTAATTTTAGGTTTAACACGCATTCCTACAGATATTGTTTATGGTATAGGCTTGTGGAACATACCCGTACTGTTCCAATGCTTGTTAGGGTTTTTTCCTTTACATAAAATCGTAAAATTTACCCCCACGAATAATGGGATTTCAATCAAGTGCTTAATTGAAACGAAGAAAAACACAAAACAACAAGAGAAAGATGATGAATTAGACTCTATAAATCGATTACATTGAGCTAAAAAATAGCGGTACGAACCTTAGCGGTGAAAGTGATATTTTCTAGTTGACAATTCCAGTTGTCTTCGCATTCTATCATGCTTCCTCTGTAAACTTCCCCGCTTTTGAGTTCAACCGTCACTATGTGTCCGGCGGCTTCATGTAACAGCTTCACCGGAATTCCTAGGCTCCGACTCATCCTGGACTAATTCTCTCTTTCTCTTTCTCTTTCTCTCTATCTGTGCTGATCGGCGGCGAGGGTTGCAGGTGAAAGGGTTTTCAAAATGTTCGAGTCCCGCGATCAGTCTCTTATTACAGGGAAATCAATAAGGTCAAGGGTCAACCCCACAAAATTCATTCTCTTCTCGTCAAAAGCATTTTTTAGGGTTTCGGATTATGGTTATTTTTAAAATCATAATTTATACTCTTTTATAAAGCAAATTTAACAAAAGTTTTAAAGTCTTAAAATATTAAATGACCAAGATATTTTTTATACACTTTTTCACCCCCTCATCTCACATGCACTCACCCTCTCACATACATTCACCCTCTCGCAACCGATATTTTTAAAATCATAATTTTAAATTTACACTTTATACCTCTATAATTATTTAATTTATTTATTTTACGTCCTTTACTTTTAAATGTTTCATTATATTTACCGAATTAATATACATAATCGTATATCAATTAAAACATGTTTAAAAAATACATTTTTATTTTAACAAGTTACACCATTATAATCGTCTCTTTAATACATTCGAAATGAGTCCAATATTGAATAGTTTTTTACTTAATTATATTATTATATATTATATATACTATGAAAAAATATTTTTAATATTTACGATTTATTAGTTATTTATTTATATATATATATATATATATATACTATATATTTTAGGGTTAAGCTGTCCAAATTGCACTATATAATATGTTCTGAATTAATATGTTCTTGTGTTTTTTTGAAATATATATATATATATATATATATACATGTATTGTATTAATTCAACCTTAATCTGAGTTTTTTGACAAGAAAGAAGGTAAACAGTTGAAATTTCATTTTAAAACTCATATTTTTTGGTTTTTTCATGACTTATGATCTGTTAAATTTGTAGTTTTCTTTATTGGTTTTGAGTGTTTATCTTAAAACTCAAGTTTCTTGGTTCTTTGCTCTTGGTGTAAATCGAACACATTTGTGGAGTCGTTTATATATATTGGATTTTAAACTGTCATACAACTTTTTTCATCGATAGTCTGTAATTGGAACCATAACTCTTATTTATTGAAATTGTATTAATATGTAAATACCAAGTGTAACATATATCATCGTTAAATCTTATCTTATAAAATCAGTGAAACTTCAAAATCGTTAAAATTCATGGCTCCCGCCGCATTGCGCGGGTACACAACTAGTTTATATCTATATCTATACTACCTTATAAAACATATTTAATAAAAGTCTTAAAAACAACCTTTAATGCATAATGTATTGATTCTTTATGCATAAAGCCTTAAAAGTATTAATTACAAGCATTTATGCATATGGTATAACTCAACAATGTTTCACCTTTTACAACTCATACTTTTAAGTTTTATCTTTCTCATATTTAGTTTTGGTTCTCAATAGACATTGAAAATTTATCTATACTACCTTATAAATCAGATTTAATAAAAGTCCTAAAAATAACCTTAAATGCATAAGGTACTGTTTCTTTATGCGTAAAGTCTTAAAAGTATTAATTGCAAGTCATTTATGCATATGGTACAACTCAACAATGTTTCATCTTTTACAAGTCATACTTTTAAGTTTTATCTTTCTCATATTTAGTTTTGGTTCTCGATAGACATTGAAAATTTAAACCATCTACCCCTAACTTTGACCTTATATGTTCCCAAGATTTTCATTTTACCATCAAAACCTCTCTTACCATTTCAAATGTAAATATCATATTTTCATAATTCACGATTGATTTTTTTCCCAATCACCTCCATTGTCCCAGTTACATTCTTTCCCGCCCCTGCCGTTCCTCGCCGTCTCTCCTCCAGTCGCACCGACACCCTTACAACTTTCACATGTTTTTATACTTGTGTAAAAGTCTTCCTTTTGGCTTTCCATTTTACTACTAGGGTTTGATCTAGCTGCTTATTTTAAAGATTGACATTTTGGAGTTCCGGATCTACATTTACAGTATTTGTATACATTAACAAAGCCATTTGCTTTTAATGGGTTATTTAATTCAATATATTCGAGATGGGTTGTGATTCAGGTCGAGTATCTTGCTCCACCGCTCCAGTCCTTGGCAAATGCTTGCATATTGCTCCACCGCTCCAGTCATTCGGGTACGAATGGCAACAGGGCGGGTTCGGCCCGGGTATTGGTATCCCCGTCCCCGTAACCGCTTTGATCCCCGTCATCGGGTCCCCACGGTTTCCCCGATCCCCGTTGGGGAACCCGTTAAGGGTAAAAATTATTTTTTTCACCGTTGGTTATAACCGAATTCGAAACCGATATGAAAAAAATTACAATATGTTAATTTTCACAATTAAAAGTAAATTACAATTTTTTTAAATATGTAAGTTTAAATGTCTCAAACACAATCGAACCAATTACAAACAATGTATTATATTAAAATATAAACCTAACATAAATTCAAACATCATACAACTAAAATCACGATTTTAGACAAATAAACTAGATTTTTTCGTGAACTTTATTTGGGTTGTTGAGGTAAAGTGGATAAAAGTCTTTTAACTTTTAATGTTATTGTTTTTTAATGATATTATATGTATATGTATATGTATATGTATGTATGTAAATTAAAATTAATATATATATACACATATCGGGCCGAGCTGGGCCGGTGATCACCTTCCCCGTCCTCGTCCCCGTTAAAATCCCCGAATCCGTCCCCGATCCCCGCCCCGTCCCCGATAAAATGTTCCCTTACCTGGCCCGAATGTTTCGGTTTTCGGTTTTCACTGTTGGTTTCGGGTTTTTTTGTCATCCCTACATTCGGGTTGTAATTAAGGATTTATGAATAATTGTAGAACCTACTAACACCAACATTTTGGATGAATGTATATTTGAATCTAAATTAGATACAAATATAGTAGGTTTTTTTACATCTTCAAGGAATTTGATATCTCAAAATTGAACAATCTTAATAAGCTTTTTACATCTTGCTGCATTGCGCGGGTAGACAATTAATATCTATATAAAGGAGAATCATCAAAAGATGATGTGGCATATTGAGAGAGCGAGAATCATTAGTTGCTATTTTTTCTAATTTTTGAATTATTTTAAATAAAAACATATCATTAAATGAATGAACCTTTCATTTACTTTTTATATATGAGTTACATATAATAATCTAATAAATCTTCATATCTATAAATATATAATCTATATATCTGTAATCTATAAGTAAGAACCAAAAGACATTATATGCCATAATATGGATTGAGGATTCCAAAATATTGATTGTAGTTAACTTTGTCCATCTCACATTAATAAAAAGATGATTTGTTGGAACATTGATGGTGATTATATAAAGAAACGGATGACAGCCTTTTCTTTACATGGTTTTTTTATTTATGGTTACTTTGATTCATTTTTGATTAAATAGTTAATTTTTGTTACAATTTTATTTGTGTTGATTTGGTATTCTATTTTCTCATACAATTAACACAATACGCTTATTTCATTTGTTTTGTTTATCTTATATCTTTGTATATATGAAAGTAAGAACCAAGAGAAATGATGGATTGATAATTCCAAAATATTGAATTATAATTAACTTTGTCTATTAATTGATATAATCTTTATCTTTATATGTATATAATATGTGTGTGTATATATAGGGACGGGTAAATGAAATTAAAATTAATATATAAATAAGATTATAATCAATGTACATAACTCTGAATTTCAGTATTTTAAAATCTCTAATCTATAACTCTACAAGAAAATAATGATATATATTCATGAGCTAACAATGTAATATTCCAGTACTTTAAAAATTTGAAGTGTGATTTTCTTTTGATCATCCACATTGACGGAGAGATGATATGTTGGTTTTTTTTTTTTTTGCTAAATATGTTTTAATATGTTTTTGGCACACTTTTATTTAAAGTAAATCCTATATAAAGACGATGAAGGGTATATTTGATAAATAAAATGGTTCATTGACAAAATATGTTTTTAGGCTGACTCTTCTTCTACAAAAAAAAAATTATCAATATAAAAATTAAGTAGAAAAAAATAAATTTACGAGGTAGCATCGTGAAAAATGTTATTTGAGTCCTAAATAACATAAAAAACAAAACTATTAACGGTGCATCTTATACTCTTCATAACAAAAACCTATTAATATTATAAATATATACAAATTAACCACTAAAGAAATATGTTTCATTTTAACTTGGCCTACTACTTCTAAAAATTTGAAATTTGATCTGAGTATTTTAAAATCTTGAACTGTAGTTTGGTTTTGGTCATCCCACATTGATGTTGAGATGATAAACTGGAGAATATATTTGAATATATATATATATATATATATATATATATATATATAACGGATGGGGACGTCTTTATGATGTATAAATGTGTATTGCCTAAAAGAACAACACAAATAATGAGGTGACTTCATATCAAGTGAAATATCGGTTCTTATTAGTTTAATATCTGATATGTAAATGATCATATCACTTAACTTACTTCAATAGTTTTTTTTTTCTTTCTAAAAATATTATAGTCACCACGCAACGTGCGGTCCACAACACTAGTTTATTAATAATATAAAACATCACTCTCTAAATCACATCAAATTAGAGGTGGGCAAAATTCGAATGATCCAAAATCTGAACCTTAATTCGACCGAAAATAAGGTGTTTATGCAAAACCTGAATATCCCGCAATCCGAAAACCGACTTTTAACGGAAATTATGGTTCAGGTTGGGTTTGATTTATAGCCTCTCGATCCGTCTGAAAATTGTTAACATATATACATACGTATTTTAAATGCTATATAAATATATCTATTTATTTAATTATCTTTTTAAATTTTTCAAAAATCCTAGTCCATCATGTTTTTTCCTAATTTCTAAGCACACTATTGTTTTTTATCAATCATCAAAACCGATTATATATATATATATATACCATTATAGCTAAACCCGAACCTGATCGATCTCAACTCGAAACCCGACGACCCCAAAACTGAAGCAATAATCGGGGTTTGATTTCCATATCCGAAATCCGATCGGATCTTTAATTTACCCACCCACCTGACCCGCCTTATGCATACTCCTACACCAAATAGATTCGATGTATATTACATGGAATATGATTGGTATTAGGTGTATATAGACACTCTAGAATAAATCATGAACTTCTGGTGATAAAGTCGAAATTTGAATTACACCATGATGCCGTTATAAAAATATTATCACCACGATCGATTTCATATGTTCGTCATCTTTTTTCCAAAATGTTTTCATTTTCTAGTGAAATAATAAAATAACGAGTAAATTACAAATTTCGTCCCTATGGTCCCGTGAAAATTTGGATCAGGATCCTCAAATGAATAATTATAGGTGGTCATTATGGTTTCCTTTTTTGTTATGGATTAGGTCCCTCATGTTACCAGTTGTTTAAGATACCCGTTAACTTAGAGACTTTTTCATTTTCCTCAGTCGTATGGAAATGAAAATTGTAACTGTTTCGAGGACATGTTTTACCAATTTCTATGACTCAAGAAACTTCTCTGTCTTCGCCATCTTTTCCCCAAATTTCCATGAACAAAAATTAAACCGGAAAACCATACCCCAAATCAAAAAGAAATAAAGATTCAAACCCATAAAAAATAATTAAAGAACAAAATCAACAACGCCAACCCATTTCTTCAAGAACAAAATAAACAATACAAACAGGGACGTTCCAATATTTTTGGAGACCCTGCTACATTTAAAACTTTTGATTACATTGCATAAATGAGATAACAGATAATACATGTTAAAGAACATAAATGAGCTAAACCTAAAACGATTAACAATATGAAACTAAACCTAAACCATTAATGATTTGAACCTAAAACCAAACGATTAATGGTTTGAACTTAAATAATTTCGGCTATAGTTTTACACAAGTCGATAAAAAACACTAAACACATGTAAATTTGGGCCCCAAAATTTCGGAGGTCTGTTCAAAATTTTACATTTAACATGCTAAGTAACGACCATGAATACAAACCCATTTTTAAAAGAATAAGATCAATAACACAAATCCATTTTTAATAGCAAAATAAAAAACAAACCCCATTTTTTAAGAACAAATCAACAACAAAACTTATTTCTGAAGCCATTTGTATAGATCTTTCATTACCCAACGATTTTTTTTAATTAAATAAAGAACACAAAAAATATCAAATCCTTAAATAACTTCAAATTTATTAATATCTCGTCAGAAACATTAGGACATCAAGATTTCTAAAATATAACTCAAAAACCCTAAAATTTATACCATATTAAAAAATCATTGCCAAAACCATAAAATCCAAAACCCTAATCAAAACCCCAAATTCTACTAATAATGGTTGGGATTTGTTAGGTCGTGAGGCACAAATTTTTGTTTGTTTATTTATTTATTAAAAATAAAAGGGTACTCGTACAATGCATCGAAACATATTTTCTTTTCAATGTTTTGTTTTATTTTTTATTCATGTTGATATAATACGAGTTTATATGGTTTTGAGAAAACGATAATGTTTTATTTTTGAATAAAATATAAATTTGAAAATATCATATAAAATTCACAAAAAATATATCAATATTAGTATCAAATTAACTACTTAAAAGTTTTTGTTTGTATATTTTGTTAATTCAATTTTTTTATTATAATTTAATTTAATTTGATTTATGTTTAATAATATAACATTTTATAAAGATAATAATTAACTATTCTGTTAGAACTCAATGATTATCCTAATTATATTTTAGATTTTTTTATATTTAAAATAAGATGTTTATCCTATATTTGATTATGTTTATCTGCAGTTAGTTACACGAATTCAGATATGAAGCTTTAATAAATTGTACTTACGCACAATCTACTTGCAATCTTGAGTTTTAAGTAATATATATTTATAGACAATACTTCACGTATAAAAAATGGGTTTTAAAAGTTTTTGTCAAATGTTTTATAATATAGTATAGATAGTATAAATTATTTTTATTTATTTATTGAAGAAAATTTCAAATTATATTAAAAAAGTGTAAAGGAGATGATTTCTGTGGTACCAAAATATATTATGTCATTGCTCCATTTGAAGGTCACATGGCATCATCACTCTTAGCATATCCTTTGCTTCCCTTCTCCAATAAGTACTATATAGTCAAAACAAATCATCCTGGATACCAAAGATATCAAAAGTAAGAAAAAACATATGCTTTCCTTTGAGAATTCAACGTGGGTCACTCAAAATCCCTGTAAAATATGGATTTTTCTTAGTGTTTTTAATCACCAAATCATCTGGATTTATTCGAGGTCAGTGCTTTTTAACGGTTCTAATTCAATCGTCTCACATTATAATCCTGCCTTCCCCTCTGCAACCACAGTAGTGTGTGTGTGTGTGTGTGTGTTTGTTTGTGTGTGAAATTTAGCAGAGATGTATGGTTCTTTGGGTTTTGTTCCTAAAGCTGATCTTGGGTTCTTAACACAATTCTCCAGTAAAGATTCTTCACTGGTAAAGGAAATTCTTCAGTTTCTTGACTTCTTTTAGTCTTTTCTTCCACTTATAGCATTTGAATTTGCTTTGATTCCTAAAGCTGATTTAGGGTTTTGATCAAGATTCCCCCATTGTTCTTGATTTATGTAGCCATTTCTTCCATCTCTAGCAATTGGGTTTTGTTTTGGTGATCAATGTGCTATCTTGGTGTTGGTTTTATTTAACAAATTCTGTTTACTAAAAGCTGATATTGGGGTTTCTCTTACAACACAAATCTCTTCCATAGATTCCTCATGGGGTCTGCTTTGTTGCATACAATTCATGTGCCATTTAGGGTTTCTTTTTTGGTTAAAGTCCTAGCTTCCAAAGCACATTCAGGGTTTAACCAAGATTCCTCATTGCCTAACAATTCTTGATTCATTTAGCCCTTTTCTTCCATTTCTAGCATTTGGGTATTGTTTTTCATGCATCTGATGCAAGGGATCAATGTCTAATTGAGGTGTTTCTACTTTCTTTTGGTTAAAAAGTTTTGTCCCAAAAGCTGATTCATGGTTTTATTCAAGATTCCTCTTTGTTATCAAGATCCTTCCAATTGTGGATTTCTTAAAACTTCCCCCCAATTTTAGCATTTGGGCATTGTTTTGCACATTGCATAAGTTTGCTGCAAATGGTTAAATGTGCAATTTAGGTGTTATGGTTGTAAATCGTTGCTTCGTAAAACTGATATATGGATTCTAACATAGTTATCAATAAAGATTCTTCGGTATCAAATTTCTTCTAGTTTGCTGTATTTTTATGCTCAATTTTCAGCATCTAGGTTTTGTTTTCCTCATTGCATATCTTTGCTGCAAATGGCTAACAGATTAAGAACGATGAGAATTGCGATTGGGTTCTTTTGAATAAATTTTGATTAGAACCCTTGTTCTCCTCCAAATCAAAGCAAATCTTTGTAGATTTAGATTCATACACTCACCACCGTCACCGGTTTAACCATCATGGTAAAAGTATTTCTTTAGCTCTGGATTAGATGACATGTTGTGTTTTCCGTAACTATGCTGTTTTATGTTTTCATTTACTTGCAATTTTAGTTTTAAAAGATATGAAACAGAGTTATTTGTTATGATAATTTGTCGGGATCTTTAAGTTTTATCCTTCATACGATGATTAATTATTGAACTTTCTTGAATTGTGTTCATTGTATGACATTAAATACAAGTCGAAGTATAAGAAAGACATTTACTTGGTGAGTTGAATGCGGTGTTCTTTTTGGTCATTTGGCTAATCCTATAATACTTGAGCATTCATTGACAGGCTACAGGAAGCAACTTGTTTATCGTTCCACATCAGCTTACAAAATTTAGGTTGGGACCCGCAAAACTGCCGTTCGTTTCAAGATTATTTCGTACGACAAGATTATTATCAACTCAAACAAGGGTATGATTGTCTTCTATACTTTTGTTATGCACCCTAATTAGAAGAGTAGTTCGTAATTGTTCCCATTTTGGGACTATCAATTAAGAATCGTAACTTCTGCCTTTTAGCAACGTTTCAAGTCAAGATTTACGTATTTGCCCTTTGTCACCGTTACATATTGGCCATGTTTGGAAACCGTAAACTAGCTTATTTTTTGAGTTAATTGATAATCCCCATTTGGTTAACCACAAGTTAGGTCTTTCAAAACTTTTTCTTCCCAATTATGCCCCTTATATTTTTCCAGTTAATTTTTCAACATGTCATTATAGGTCATTTTATACTGTTATGTAGCTTATCAACTAGTTTTTACCAAACATGAAACGTGACTAGTTTTTATCAGCTAACAACTAGCTTATTCACCAACAGCCGCCCTTTCAGCCAACAACTAGCTTATCATCTAGTTTGCCGAACATAGCCTTTATACATACTATTGATTTATGTTGGGATATCCGATGAAAATTATGACATCTCCTTTTTAGCAACGTTTCAAGCAAAAATCGCTTATTTTGCCCATCGTCATCACTAAATCTTGTTGGTGCTGTTGATTTTGGCCTGCAAGATTTCTTTACTTTGTCAAATCGAATTGGTTAATATAACATGGTGCATATGGTTCTCAGGCAAATCATGATTCCACCATCCCTGCCGTTGTGACAGATGACGACCTTTCAGCAACGATGAGAATCAAAGCAAACGCAAAAAAGTTACGAATTTTGGAGCTCGATCCTGGCTTAGGACCGTACAAAGATCAATTTGAATATAGAATGAAGAGATTTGCTGAACAGAAAACACTTATTGATCAACATGAAGGAAGTCTTGAAGAATTCGCAAAAGGTAATGACACAAAATTCGAAACCCATAATGTGCTAGACTTTGCAGAATCGGATGTCGAAACCACCCTTTAGAGATGACAATAGGGGAATCTTGTGGATTAGAATTAGGGAAATTGTCCAAAAATAGCCAGTCAGGCCTCCCCTCGTTATTTTATAGCCACCTTTTCAAGAAATTAATCGAAATAGCCGGAGATTACGCAAGTAACGCTTACACAACTTGCGTACCCACTTTTTCCAATAAAATAATCAGAAAAATTCGACGTTAAGCAAGCTGCATAAGTGCTACTGGCGTACATAGACATTATGGAAACACAACTTGCTTAATGTCTAATTTTCTGATTATTTTATCGGAAAAAGTGGGTTTTGCAAGTCGTGTAAGCGCTACACTTGCGTAATCTCCAGCTATTTCGGTCAGAATGTTGGAAAGGTGGCTATAGAGCGAAGAGGAAAGACCTGATTGACTATTTTGGACAATTTATATTGTAACGATTACAAAAGGTAGCTAAGTCATTTTCCTTGAAAATTTGCCAATTTGCCATAGGTTATTTGAAGTTCGGGCTTAATAGAGAAGAAGGGAGCATCGTCTATCGTGAATGGGCACCAGCTGCCGAGTATGTTCTTCTCGTAACCATTTCTTTAGACCTTTTTGCTACACATATTATTTGTCCAAAATTCTGATCAGGGTTCACTCTATATGTGATCAGGGAAGCACAACTAATTGGAGATTTTAACGGGTGGGATGGATCCAACCACAAGATGGAAAGAAATCAGTTCGGAGTATGGCACATCAAGATTCCCGATGTCGATGGGAATTCAGCTATTCCTCATAATTCAAGGGTAAAGTTCAGATTCAAGCACAATGATGGAGTTTGGGTTGACCGGCTCCCAGCTTGGATAAAGTATGCCACTGTTGACTCTACTAGATTTGCTTCCCCTTACGATGGCGTTAACTGGGACCCACCGGCTTCAGAAAGGTATAAAATCTTATTCGTATTATGTACCGAGTCCAAATTTGATCGTGTTGACAGGATAGAACAAAAATTTGTTATCCCATTTTTAGTGCAACAACTAGACCGGGACTAGACAGGACTGAATGGGACAAAAATGCATTTTTTTCTGTCCCACCAAAATCGGTGGAACGAAAATCAAGTAGATGGGACAAACTTGATAAATTACTAAGCTACCCATGTCAAATTAAAACCCTAAAACCTTCCACAATCCTTTTACCTGCCTACCTCGCTCTCACCTGTCCAGTCCCGTCTGCTTAACAAATGCACCTTAAGGGTATAAATGTAAATTGGCATCTTAGTTGGAGAAGTAGAGAACAATAGTACAAAGAGCATCAATTTTCTGAAAGTATGATGGTTGATCACTCAAAATCTAGATATTCCCATTTTAGATATTAGTTTCACTTTGTTGTCGTGCATGTAGGTATGAATTTTCGTACCCCCGTCCACCAAAACCCGAGGCACCACGAATATACGAGGCTCATGTCGGGATGAGTGGTTCAGAACCTCGAGTGAATTCATACCGAGAGTTTGCGGACAATGTTTTACCTCGGATTTGGGCAAACAACTATAACACGGTCCAACTGATGGCCATAATGGAACATGCTTATTACGGATCATTCGGCTATCATGTTACGAACTTTTTTGCCGTGAGTAGTAGATCAGGAACACCTGAAGACCTCAAATATTTAATTGATAAAGCACATAGTTTAGGTTTACGGGTTTTGATGGATGTTGTTCATAGCCATGTAAGTAGCAATATCACCGATGGGCTCAACGGATATGATGTTGGCCAAGCCACACAAGATTCTTATTTCCATACCGGGGAACGGGGCTACCATACGTTATGGGATAGCAGGCTTTTCAATTACTCGAACTGGGAGGTTCTTCGTTTCCTTTTATCAAACTTGAGGTGGTGGCTCGAGGAGTTCAAGTTTGACGGGTTTCGGTTTGATGGGATAACTTCCATGTTATATCATCACCACGGAATCAACATTGCCTTTACGGGGGACTACCATGAGTACTTTAGTGAATCAACCGATGTTGATGCAGTAGTTTATATGATGCTTGCAAATGATTTGATTCATTCGTTGTTGCCGGATGCAACAGTGATTGCGGAGGATGTTTCCGGAATGCCCGGTCTTTGTAGGCCCGTGGATGAGGGTGGGATCGGGTTTGATTTTCGGTTAGCTATGGCTATTCCCGATAAATGGATTGACTACTTGAAGAACAAAAACGATGATGAGTGGTCAATGACCGATATATCAAGGAGTTTAACTAATCGACGATACACCGAGAAATGTGTTGCTTATGCCGAGAGTCATGACCAGGTATAATGAATTACTCGAGCCCTCTTCATTTAGGCCGTTTTACGTTTTAATTTTGTGGGTCCCATTTACTTGAAGATGGGACCCACAATAATGAAGAACGTGGGAAAATGGTAGAAAGATATTACTCCCTTAGTTTACAAAGCAAATGCAACATAAAAAGTGTAACATTTCTAAAATTGTGTGCGTTTTTTCATTGTGGACATTTATTTTGGGACAGAGGGAGTATTACTATATTAGTCAAAGACCTCATCAGACTATGTGTCAAGTCAAACGTTGCATTTTTTGGGAGACAAAAGGAGTACCCTTTTAAAAACTTTTCGATAATATCATCTCTCACCGTTGTGTATTTATTTGTTGTGGGTTGCAACAAATGCAGTCGATTGTTGGAGACAAAACAATTGCATTTTTCCTTATGGATGATGAAATGTATTCCGGGATGTCTTGTTTGATGGACGCTTCACCAACTATCGATCGTGGGATAGCACTTCACAAGGTTCGTTTTCCCCGCTTTTGTTAATTACATTTCATGGGCGTGGATTGTGCTTGTTGGTCGATATCACGAAGGACAAGAGGTAGACTTTGACTTTTTGAGGTCAAACCTATTAGGTTTAAAAGTTTGGGAAATTGTTATGGATTTATTTTAATGTAGCGACAATGTTGTTCTATGTATATGATTTGGTATAAGCTTCATTCGACTCGTCAAAGCCATCTTGAAAATTGGAAAAAGGAACTCGCATTGATTTAGAATTGAGAATACATGTGTTGGACCTCATAAAGTCAGACTCGAAAGTACATGGAACTTCACAAGGGACACACGGTCCCGACACAAATGATTTGCAACGATACCCGCCATGCATCAATTTGTTTACGTTCCAATGAATTGATATTATGTTATCGTTTTTACAGATGATTCATTTTATAACGATGGCATTGGGTGGAGAAGGTTACCTTAATTTCATGGGAAATGAGGTAAGAGCATGCCAATTGTTGCATACGGATTACCAAGAAAGTACTCGACTTCATGCTTTCATACTATGTAGATTATTCGTGACCTCGTTCATATACTTAAAAAAATTCTACTCTTTTTTAAGTATATAATATTTACATACAGCAAATACTCACGCACTCTTCTTGAGTAGATGAGATGACAAGTCTGCTTACATCCCTCACCCCCTACCCACCTACGGGTGAAATATACTGGGTTCATTTGGTTTGATCTTCTCACATACCCGTATGTGGGGATAAAGCTTCTCTGTGTGTGTACATATATAAATATATGTATGTATGCATGCGTGCATGTATATGTGTGTATGCATGCATGTTTATGTGCGTGTATACTTTTGTCATCAAGCAAATGCTATATTTCTTGCTTATGTCTAATGGAGTAATATTTACGAGTATTTGTTATAGTTTGGCCATCCCGAGTGGATTGATTTCCCTAGATTAGGCAATGACTGGAGCTACGAGAAGTGCAGACGCCAATGGGAACTTGTCGACACGCAACACTTAAGATACAAGGTTCGGTAATTGACTATCTAATTGTCATTTCTCCCTCCTTTCCATGAACATTGAAATGTTAGAATTTGAAACATATTTTTTTTTGAAGTATATAATATTTATATACAGCAAATGCAACAAATAAACTCACACACCCTCATCATCTATAGTGAGATTTGAACCCCTGACCTCCTAGGAGGCCAAAGGCTACAATACCACTAGACCAAAGGCCCTTTGGTAATTTGAAACATAGTTCAAGAAAAGTGTATCGACTATATATCAAAAATATCTAAAATACCCTCACTATGTCAAGATTGAAGAATTTGGTGACCTATATCAACATCATCAATTTATCTAACAATTCTTTGGGCCATAAATGAACCGAACGGTCAACGAACCACTCGTGAACCGTTTGTCAGCAAGTTTGTTTATCTATAAATGATCCAATACGAACAAGATTTGGTTTGTTCAGTTAAATGAATGAGAATGAACAATGGTCTCGTTCGTTTATTTACGTTCGTGAACATACCGTAATCCGTTTGTTAATGTTTGCTTATGTTCATTATATATTTAAGCGTTTGTCTTCATTTATGCTCGTTTGTTTACTTTTTGTTTAGCATCTTAACGAACAAACATAAACAAAACACGAACAAACACACACAAGGAAATTTATTCGCTTATGTGTTCGTTTTCATTCGTTTGTTCCGTTAAAGTTAAACAAACGAATCGTTTACAGCCCTAACAACGATAGTGGTCAGAAATCAAGACAAAATACTTCATCTTTCATAGAAAGGGAGCGTCATTTATCTCTGCATTTGGCCTCATCCCCCATGATTTTTTATGCAGTTTATGAACGCTTTCGATAGAGCTATGAACTTGCTCGATGATAAGTTTTCCTTCCTCACATCGGCCAAACAGATAGTGAGCAGCACAGACGAAGACGGCAAGGTACAAAATATTTTGTGCAATTCATCAGCACCGTTGACTTTTGAGGTCAAACTGCCCAAATTTTAAAGGGGTTGATATCCCCACCCCCTACATCACTTTTCACCCCCTCCTCCTCACACCAACCCTCACTCTCACCCTCACAACTTTCACTCACTCTCACCCTCACATACTCACCCCCCTACGCAATCTCATCCCCCTCACATGCACCCATAGGAGGGGGTGGGGTTAGAAAAACCCATTTTAAATTCAATTCTGATGCGAATTTATGAGTTCCGGGAATAGTTCGATTACTACATTAAACTCTATATCTAATCATACGTATCGTATGTTTCTCATTCGAAGTTTTTAACGAAATCCACTTTAATTTTGAATGCAAAGATTGATCATATATTTGTCCTTAAAAGTCAAACAATTATCCTTGCATGTTTATCTTGAAATAGAGTGTTTTTAATCCCAAATTTGACATTTTTTTGTTACGGTTCACAGGTTATTGTGTTTGAACGGGGAGATCTAGTGTTCGTTTTCAATTTCCACCCCGATAAGACATATGATGGGTACGGACATCTTCACCGAGCATATCAAAATTGCGACATTTGACTCGATGTGCAGTTTAGTAAATTGCATGAAACGTATTTTGTTATGATTTCTATTTTCAATATCGATTCCACGTGAGCGAAACCGTATCGTAGTAAACATTTACAAGTCATTAGGTAAAAAAGTAGTTAAATGTTTGAGATGTCATCTCGTGGGTACGGAAATGAAGGTTTTAGAAGTGCGTTAACCAAAATAGGAATCAAGTACATTTTATTTTCATGCAATTTGCGGTTTAGTAAAAATGTTCGATTATTAATCAAATGTCTAAAGTACCCTTTTACTGGATAACCTTGTTGACCAAACTTAACATAACAATACGACGGGTAATTAGGTAACTTTAGCTCGAAACAAGTAGGGTTCTTAGTCGTATAAATTGTGATACCGCAGGTACAAGGTTGGTTGCGATTTACCGGGGAAATATAGAGTTGCTCTCGATAGTGATTCTTGGGAATTCGGTGGGCACGGAAGAGTAAGTAAAATCCTCCGATTACTTTTCGACTTTTCATTCTTCAAGGTCATGTTTGACCTTTCCTCATAGCTTATGCGATCAATATCGGTCTTAGAATCGAAAAGAAAACAATTCCGGCACAGAAAAGTCAAATGTTGACTTTTTAGGCCGGAGGGAACGATGTATGAAGTTTTTCTTCGTGATCTCTTTTAAACGACGTTTGGAGATAACCACTCGATCTAATTTCATGAAATGCTTCACAAATCTTGGTAGGTTGGTCATGATGTCGACCATTTCACTTCGCCTGAAGGAATACCGGGAGTCCCGGAAACGAACTTCAACAACCGTCCGAACTCGTTCAAAGTTCTCTCGCCACCACGGACTTGTGTGGTAAGACTTCCACCCACATCCACTATATATACAACCATTGTAATATGTCATTTTGTTGATATGGTACAGTAAACCAGTCATATTAACCACAAATGTGGTGTTTAATTGGTTTGAGCTTGGCTCCAAAGGTCAAAAGTACAAGGAGGTTTCAGGTTCAAATCCAAGGAGGAATAAAAATTCCCTTGTGGCCACGGAGGTTCAAATGCGATGACTCCAGGCTATCTGCAAAGCAGGTGGTCGCCCTGGGATTAGTCGGCTCGCATAGCGGGTTGGATATCCAGGTTAATCAAAAAAAAAAAAACCCCAGTCATATTTGTTTTTTAAAACATAAACGTACATACATGATCGATGATCAAATTAAGCGCTAGATCACGTTTTATTTTTCAAGGTTTATTATCGAGTTGAAGAAGACAGTCCAAACAACACCATAGACGAAGCCTCACTTGAAGTCGAGGATAAAGATTTCGAAGACGCCGAGAATTTCCAAGAAGCAACTTGTTTCATCGAAAGTGAAGTTGCAACTTTAAAAACACCCGAGGAAGAAGAAGACGACGGCGACATGAGATTTATTTGATCATTATCGTTGCTTTTGGAGAATACGATGAACCGTTTGTATTATATTACCGCTTTCGTTATTTAACTTCTTTTACGTACATGTCAAACCAGAACAAACCATTTACGCTCCAACATATGTAACGATCCTATTAAATAATCATAAATATTTTGAGAACTGTATTTATTAACTATTCATGAATTATTCATGAATATATATATATATATATATATATATATATATTTCATAATTAATTATATTCATCATGGATAATTTATTAATGAAGTTATGGCTGTCAAAATATTTACGGAAAATGCAGAGGCAATGCCGATCTTTGAGTCCTACTAGAGCTATAAACGAACCGAACGAACACGAACATAGGCTTGTTCATGTTCGTTCAACTTAACTAAACAAACGAACGAAAATCTTTGTGTTCGTGTTTGTTCATTTAGAAATCTGGTGTGTTCGTGTTCGTTTATGTTCATTTGTTAACATGTTAAACGAACGTAAACGAATAGGCTAAATGAACATAAACGAACAGGCTTAAACGAACATAAACATTCACAACCTTCTTCAACCTTCACGATTTGTAGAAAGTTTCATTTAGAGGCTAGGGTTTTGGAGGAAAAGTGAAAAGATAAAAATTTCAAATAAGACAAAATGATGATAATATTTAAATCTAAATAAATTCTGAAAAATTAAAACAGGAACTTGATGCAATTACTTCATTTTATCGCATCATATATGTGCGATAACCCCACTTTGTCGCATACAAGTATGCGATAACACCTATTCCTCGCATCATGAAGATGCAATAACAGTTTCCACATGATCAAAATCCCATTTTTTACATTCAATTGATTTTGTCACCCATATCCCAGTATACGTCTATCATGATTATGTCACTCTTATCCCAAAATACGTCTCTCTTGATTATGTCACTCTTATCCTAATATACGTCTCTCATGATTATATCACCCTTATTCCAACTAGTTGATAATAACATATCAAAACACAAAAACTACGCTAAAAACAACATATAACACATTCAAAATCCCAAGTATGAAACCATATGGTTTCTTCACCAAAAGCAAATAAAATGATGTTTTTGAAAGTAAAACTTACCTTAAATCACAATGAGATGAAGATATTATACGGCAACAATTATCCAGTCAAGAACACGTAACAACAATTTCTTCTTCCTCTTCATCTGTTTGTTCGACCCAGGAAGAAAAACACACACTCTCTCTAGTCTCTTTCTAATTACCAAAAAAATTAAAAATGCAGTAATTTAAATTATTAGTGTTATTTTAGTGAACTAAAAATTTGAATTTAACACTAATGATATTTTTAGCATTTGGATTACAAATGGTATATCTACTTTACACTTTTAAAAAAATACAAAATATTAGTTTTTTACTTTTCACTAAAATAACACTAAGGGGTGTTTGAGATTGCCTATAAAAACAACTTATTAACTTATTCAGGTGTAACACCGGTAATAAACAATTTTGAGTGTTTGGATAAACAATTTATATCGGTGTCAAACCGATAATAAAGAACTTTTAAAAAAATTAAACCATTCTAATTTATAATAAATTGATATGGATTTTTATAAAAAACATAAATCGGTTGAAATAAGTAATGTTGTTAATAAGTCTTCTTTTGACTTTTTAATAGGTGAAAGTGTAAATAACAAAAAAAAAAAAAAAAATTTATGTCATATTAAAGTCAAAGATTCGATCTCACTTTTTTAAAATCTTAAAGTATTTACAATTACGGAAATTTTTTATGTCGCATTAAAGTCAAGTCAACTTTTTCAAACTTTTTGTGTATAATTTTAATTTTGATCCTTGTGGTTTTGAAGTTGTTATTTTAGTTCCCATAGTTTACAATTTATTAATATTTTTGTCCCTGAATTTTTTTTTTTGACCGGCAACAAAGACGAGATAGCATAGAAACTAGCAAGACGCTAGCAAAAGAGAGTACATGTTAAAAACAAAACATGGAAGAATTACACCACTCTATCCAACTAGTCGCCAAAACAACTTTCGGCACCCTGTTTTTAAACCAGAAAAAAGAATACGCCTGAAGCTGGCCCGCAAGAAAAGTAGCCATCGTCTGAGAAGGAACAGAGAAAGTTTTGCGGTTGCGCAGGTTCCAAATAATCCAGAAGAATCCATACACCACTCCAATAAACGCCTTCTTACACGAAAAATTCCCAGCCACCTCCGCGCTACGGTCAAGAAGATTATCAATAGAATTCACCTGTCCAATGTCCACTTTCCACCATTTGCACAAATCCTTAAGCAATTGCCGAGATATCGAGCATCCTATGAAAGATGTTCCTCGTCTTCTTCCACACAATCGCACAGAGGGCATAGGGAGGAGAGACAAACCACTCCTCTTTTAGCAAGATTAATTTTAGTCGGAAGCCGTTTGTGAAGAAGACGCCAAGCAAGAATATTAATTTTAGAGGGAACCCAAGTGACCCACCAAGAATTTCTGAAACTAACCTGGAGAAGCGAATTAGCATCATACGCAGCTCTCATYGAAGARACCGAGAAGTTACCGTGAGAAGTCAGAGCCCATCGCCAAGAGATATTGATCCCGTTAGAGCTTTGATCTCTTTGAAACCAGTCCACAAAAGGAAGATTGAGGCTATTGTATTCCTTGTGGATTTTTAAAATGTTCCTCCAGAGTCCCGGAAATCTGCCATTTCTGACCAAGTTGTTCATGCCGCCATCATCACCATGGAGAGCAATGATAACCCGTCTCCAAATGTGATTATGCTCCAATTTGAATCGCCACCACCACCGAGCGAGAAGCGCCAGATTGAGGGCTCTAAGACTACCGATCCCCAAACCGCCAGCATCTTTATCCGCCAACGTAGTACTCCAACTGATCCAAGAAATCTTTCTCACTCCTCCTTTATCGCCCCAAAAGAACCTCGAGCGAATAGATTCCAGTTTGTTGATGATCGAGGTAGGAGCCTTAAGAAGCGAGAGATAATGCAAACCCAGACTTCCTAAGACGGATTTGATCAAGACAAGCCGACCACCATAAGAGAGAATTTTGGATTTCCAAGCTGATAATTTTTTGTTAAAATTTTCAATTAAAGGTGCCCAAGATTCAGCTTTGTTGGAGCGTCCACCAATCGGCAGACCAAGGTACGTAAAAGGCAAAAGCCCAGGTCTGCAGTGAAGTCTACTAGCGACAGATACCACTTCCTCRTAATCAGCCCCCACACCCATGATATTACTCTTCTRCATATTTACCTTCAGCCCCGAAGATAGTTGGAAGCAACGCAGCAGCCGAATCAGATTAGTGGCATTTGTTCTTGTCCATTCACCCATGATCAAGACATCATCAGCAAATTGCAAAATCGATATTTCAGGCCCGGAGTTAGGAAGTTTGATACCTTTGAAAATACCTTTCCGAGAGGCCTCCGACATCATGATATTAAGAGCTTCGGCAGCAAGGATGAAGAGGAGTGGGGCCAGGGGATCTCCTTGCCTTACTCCCCTTCCTAGAGGGAATTCATGAGTCGGGGACCCGTTAATGAGAACCGCAACCGATGCCGTACGGAGGCACCCTTTGATCCACGCTCTCCATTTAACACCAAAACTCATTTGCCTTAGAACGTCCTCCAGAAAGTCCCAAGACAAAGTATCGAAAGCTTTTTCAAAATCAATTTTAAATATSAAGGATTTACGGTTAGYTTTTTTGGCCCAAGATATAACCTCGCTGACGATAATGGGTCCRTCTAAAATATTTCTTCCCTTGATGAAGGCAGATTGCTCATGCCCTACGACCGAGTCGATGACCAAGCTCAGACGAGACGCCAAGATCTTAGCAACAATTTTGTAAAAACAGTTTATCAGACTGATGGGCCGGTAATCCGAAAAAGAGCACGGAGATTCAGATTTGGGAATAAGCGAGATGAATGAGGCATTGCAACTATCATCAATAGAGGCAGTAGACTCAAAGTATTTGATGGCGCGGTACAAGTCATACTTGATGACATCCCATTGAGATCGAAGGAACTCAAACGTGAATCCGTCAGGCCCAGGGGCCTTATCAGGTCCACAGTCCCAAATAGCTTTCCTGACTTCCTCCATGGAGATGCTAGATTCGAGATAGCTCACATGATTCGGAGATAATTTTTTAAAATTATTGCATAAAAAAGGGGGCCGAATGACAGACCTGGATCGAAACCTCTCCGAGAAGAAGTTGAAGGCCACTTGTTTGATTTCAGAAGGATCCGTGACCCATACCCCATTAGAGGAAATGCCGTGAATGAAGTTGCTCCTTTTGTTAGAATTGACGATCCCATGAAAAAAACTCGAATTTTCCTCCCCGTCCACAACCCATCTRAGACGCGCTTTCTGCCTGAGATCCTTCACGTTCTCCTCGTCCAAGGCTTTGATTTTCATCAATATGTCCTTTCTCGAAGCAATCTCTTCCGGTGAGAGAAGAGTATTTTCCGCCTTGATATCAAGGGAATCCAGCGACAGTTTGAGGGAATTCATCTGTTCCACCTTAGCTTTGTTCACCCCTGCCTTCCAAATTTTTAAACGA